ATCGATTCCTTATGGGTCATTTAATGCCGAAATTTTGTTGTATAGCTTCATCATGTTGGGAGGTGGACGGTACCAATTCGATAAAATGTTGCATCTTCTCTCTCCGACGGTGATCCCTAGAGTGTCGACATGTATTGACTATCCAGTGCGGGTCGTTCTCCCTCACCGGGTGGAGGGGGGGGGCGTTTCAGACACGAAAGTGAACATGTCTATATTGCTTGATGTGTAAGAACCAACTCGCTGAAAATAGTTTCTCTCTCTATCATTCCCACGCTAGCTTAACCAATCAAAATCAACTCCCTTATTATGGCTTCCATCTGACCTCGAAGGTCAACCTCTGCAAGTTGGAGCCAAGATACACTTCCATTGAAAAATAATAGTCTGCTAAACTATTAATAAATTAATTTTCATGAGTGCATTAGTAATTTTCTTTACAAAGATGTATCCTTGGTAATTTTTTACTATAAAAATGCATTGCTCGAGTTTTTATTATAAAAATGTATTTTTATACTTTCATAGCTTGGGAGTTAACTATGCCTATAACTGGGACCCAAACTTTATTGCTTTGATTGGGGTGAAATGATTAAAAAAATACGGAAAAGCTGGAGTGGATGCATTGGATGTCTCGAAGGCATTTGATATGGTTTGTTCTTTTATTTCTGGGCGAATTTTTGAACTGATTCAGTCTGTCTTATCGGATTTCAAAATGTCTTCCACGCTAGTAGAAGATTGGCAGTAACATCAACGCATATTTACAATTGAATTGGATAGATATAACCTAGTTGTTTTGCGTCGTAAATAGGAAAGGATGACACACATATGATAAAAACAGGTTTTTCCGGAAAATAATGTCGTACAGGGTTGAGAAGACGGACTAATATAATAATCAATTAATCGTTAAATACCGTCCCCAACTCAGTAAGAGAGATTGCTGTTTAAGTAATCTTAGACAAGTCCGTCTTGTGGGGTTGTTCACCTACTCCACAACACAAGCTACTTCAAATGAAAATCAAAGAGAAAATTAGAATTCTAAGTAGAAATAATCAAAAGGATAATATTTTAATACATACGAATCAGATTCGACAAAATCGATACTGGCAGATTATGTGATCAGAACTTGGAAACTGTCTTGTTATGACATAAGAACCTGTAGAATAAGAAACAGTATACTTATTCCTAAAATAGCAGGATTTAATTAAGTTTTACTTCTTATCTATTAATATATAGATGAAAGCGTATCTTTGTTGTGCGTATTATACAACACCTGATGCAAATGTAGGCTACCGTTTTTAGAATTTACGGATCTAAGTGTCTTTTATTTGTTTTTCCCCGTTCGCGTGCAAAAATCATACAGCCCAGTCTTCTCTTTTTCTATCGTTATTAAATGTCTAATTAGCTAATTGTTTTTCGAGCAATTAACGGACTAGATTAACTAGTGGTTCAGTCTTCGCAGCTTTTCCATTAACAATAATATAATTTAACGGAAAACAATGTGAATATATTGAAAGATTTTCAATGTCTGCATGTATTCACGTTTAAAGCTGTCTACTGTCTTGTATTAATTGGTTGTATTGTTCGACGTAACAGTAATGAGGGAATATAATGAAAAGTTCAGCTGGCATCAGACACAAAATCAAAATCGAAGGTGATGCATATTTCTGTCTGAACCTTTTGGATTTCACACCAGTCTAACACGTGAAAGAAAGAGGAATCTGTACGCCTAGCAGGCTCAACAACATGACGTCTTCTGTTCTCACAATATCTTAAAACTTTGTCTTTAATAATGACTTTCATACTTTTTTCTCCTGGTGGTTTTATGCTTTTTCATCTTGTATATCAGATAGAGTTTTTAAGGTCTTATAATTTACCACCATCAAATAAGTGACATAGACGGGAAATACAGACATAGCTTGTAACAAGATGCGAACTTGATTTCACTCCTCAAAAAATCAAATCAAATTGGAAACATCCGATAATTTGAGCGAACAGAATAGCAATGACTAAGAAATGTTACCTTTCGTTCGGAGTTGAATAGAAATGTGAAGAATTTATTCTTCGTAATAATTCGTTAAACAAATTATATAATGTAAAGGTATATTTCTTGAGCTAAAAAAGCAAATCTATTATATTTCGTTAGCCCTTTTTTTTTTTTAAATAACTAGATTTTTTTTGCAACACGCTGACGCATTTTGAAATCCTCACATTTAGTATAGTTGCAGTTATCGTTTACATTTTTGTCCAAATTTACAAACATTACGTTTCGTTCAATTTCGCAAACAAATCGATGAAATTTCGATAAGCTAATTTGATTGGAAAACACTTTGACAAAAAGCCTACTTCGCCGTTTAATAATTTTTTCATCTAATTTCATAAATTGGTAAACAATATTTTTTTAAGAAATTTTCTTTTTTTCCTTTTTAACAGCGAAGAATATATTCTTAGGATTTCTTACTCTTGAGCATGCAACATACAACGGGCCATGCAAAAATATTTCTTTCTAGAGCCAAATTCCAGCTTTTTGAATCGTTTGGTCTTGTGATTATAGTTCTCGCAAACACAGATTCAACTGGAAACTGGACTCTTGTATAAATAATCTTAACGATATGCAAAAAAACAGTAATGCATTTTTATTAGAGAGGTATTTGTCATTTTGATAGTTTTTTTTTTTAAATAGTGGGATAAATTTTGTATGTTAAATAATAAAACTTTTAATTCCCCCCCCCAAAAAAAAATTAAAATGGAAATTTATTATACTAAGCTACGCACCCTAGTAAAAGCAACTGTACATTGTACCCACTTATCTGTTTGAACTTTTCCCCAAAATTTGGTTTCGATCCGTCAATGTATGGCTATTTTAGAGGGTGTGATGAACCGACAGACTAACTGGAGTCACAGATTTTTATATATAAATAGATGAATCTTACTGTGATATGCATTAAATACATTTGCTTATATTTGTCATGGATTAGAGCTGATAAATTGATCAGTATCTATATTCCTAATAAGGTATCAATCATTCAATGATAATAATATGACTTTATTAATAATAATATCAATAATAATAATGTTTATTTTTTCAACAAGAAAATAATATTTTCTCTTCCCTTTGGTTCTCCTCTTCATTTAGCCAGATTTTTATGTTTTCTGTTAAATGAAGGGCATAGGAAGAAACGAAGAGTAAAGAGTATTTATTGCTAGTTTTCTCATGAAATTGTCTCTTTAAGCGTTTGTCTTCAGATTTCCCTAATTTTTAAATATAATTTTCAATTTTATTTTTATATTTCGAGAAACATTCTACCTCTTCCTACTTGAACAAAAATAAGAATTTAACATGGCTATAATTAAAGTCCCAAAAAACTCACTTTCATCAATCAATAGATAACTTGAATTTTTTATTTTGATTAAATTCCAAATGCTAAGTTAATTCTTTATTTGATTTTTCAATCACGATTGATAGTTCAATCCACCAATTCTGAAAGGCCGTTTCATATTCTGTCAATTTTTGAAAACTAAAATAGCGGAAGTCATATTGGTATTTATCACATTGTGCCCATAAATATTGCTAGGGATACAATGAAACCGCTATACGTATAAAGGTGACTTAAATCTTGAGGGAAGTTTACATATACTTTGAGAGATCGAATAGGTGTAATCAGCTGACGAATCGTTGTTACGGAAAACAATTGCTGGGTTTTAGCCCCGTTGGGTTTTTAACCTTTCTCTGTGACAGAAAAGACTGGTGGAAGAAACAGTTTAATCACCGATCGCTTGACAATGCGGCATTAGTTTAAATGGTTCCAATAACACTCGGTAGAATGAACTGAGACACGTTCACTCACTCTCTCTCTATCTCTCTCTCTCACACACACACATACATATATATCTAATATATATATATATATCAAATATGGGGTGAAGTTCAATTTATATTACAATGAATCATTCATACAAAAAGTAAATTAGTAAAGTAAATGATATAAAATGGCGAAATCCCTTCGCTAATAAAATGTTAAAAATGCATTAATCTACTAATCTCTTGATGAATATTATGATCCTTGTTTTTTTTTTTAAATTATGAGCTGTATTAGGTCTTTCTTAAATACGTGAGTACTTTCGACTGTACATTCAATCATCTTCAGGCATGGAAATTGTTTTTGGTAAAATTCAGGTAATATACGAGTCGAAAAATATTCATTAACTTTATTAATTTACTTTTATTTATAATATTAAATTAACTAATTTACTTTTTGTATGATTGCTTCATTGTAATATAATTGAACTGCATCACATATTTGATTTAAAAGAACTGAACCGACGTGCAAGTTTTCAGGATAACAACTGAAACATTACTCTAATTATTGGATTATTCAGTTCATGCCACATTAACTGATAAACTAGTACAACAAAAAATTCTCAAATTGACATATTAGTAAGAAAACTCACTCACTTAAATTTTCAAAAAAAAAAAATTCAACCTTACCGTTGTGACTGCACGATCCACAAGTTTGTATCCGTTATCATTAACACATTTAAAATATATATTCCGATTCGCATTATACTTTTCGCCTCGGATGCTACCTGAATTTTACCAAAAGCAAAATAATTTCCATGCCTGAAGATGATTGGATGTACAGTCGGAAGTACTCGCGTATTTAAGAAAGGCCTAATACAACTTATACTTTTAAAAAACAAGAATCATAATATTCATCGAGGGATTAGTAGGTTAATGCATTTTTAAAAAATTTGTTAGCGAAGGGATATCGCCATTTTATATCATTAACTTTACTAATTTACTTTTTGTATGAATGATATAGATATATTTCGGCAGCATGTTTTCATTGAGACAGAAATTAATTCATCCACAAAATAGATTTTCTACAGTGAACTAAAAAAAAGATAAAACAAACTGTCATCAACAATAACTCCCCTAACTATATTGTTGATAAGCAAATAAGATGATAGTATTTCGTCAATGTTCTGAATTCCCATATATTTTCTTCTTACGGCCATATCACGTTGAAACATCGGTTCTCGTATGATCACCTAAGTTAAGCAACGTCGAGCCTGGTTAGTACCTAGATGGGGGACTGCTTAGGAATAACGGATGTTGTTAGCTTGGATGTTGGGTGGTGTAATGGATAACAGCTCGGAATTAGAAATCAGAGAGGCGAGTGTCAATTCCAGTCGGGTTTGTTATCTTCACTTACGCCCAAATGGATATGGGAATGATAAGAATCTACCTGATCTCCTCGAGCTACGGGTTAATTAGTAGAATTTGTATCAGCACATCATTATTATCTCCTAAAAAGAAAAAAAAAATATAATTTTTACAATTTCGAAATATTTTTCTGGATTTAAATATCCTGCAAAAGGTTGGTAAACCTTAAATAACAAAATCCATCAATCATAGTGTATATCTATGTAAAGTGACTAGGTATTAACTAGGGATAAAAATTTGGCTCTTTTTATCCATGCACAATAATCTGGAGACCTAATGAACGAGATTTTTTATTTCTGGTAATATTCATATTTTTCACTCATTGCGTAAATCCGTGAGAAAAAAAAAAGTAAGAAAACAGCACACGTAGTTTATCTTGTATTGTTTTTCTATGACGGTATAGAACTCTGATTTTGGCTTCTCGTCAGAAATGCCGGCGCTTCAGGAATAACAAGAATAATAATGCATCGTTCGTCGTAAATAACTAATCTGGTGAGGGCTGAACAGTTTCATTTAAGCCGACTAAAGAAACAGTCGCCTCAGAATGGTTGCTGATGTTTGTTGTGGTTTTATCTAATAAAATCGATTTCCGTTAGGCCATATTTGTTTTCAATTATGTACTCTCCTTGCTCAGATATCCCTGTTTTCTGTATGTATTATCTACTTGGCAACGGTTCAGAAATGATTTTTCTATTGAAATGTGTTTCAAAATAATCTACATACATTCTACCTGGCGAAAATTTTCTTTAGACAACGCACTACTCTTTCTTGTGACAGGCGTCGCCATGTCGAAATGAAAGACAAACCCTGTGTGTAAGGAAAATACTTTGGAATTTTTTTTAGGAAGGGTGTAATAAATAACCTAAACAGATGCCAAGATCAGCAGGTTTTCTTTTTGTATTTGTTTACGGCGATATCATGTTGAACCATTGGTTCGTATAAGATCACCGAAGTTGACCAACGTTGTGCCTGTGCAGTATCTAAATGGATGACCGCTTGGGAATACTAGGTGATGTAAGCTTGGATTACGGGTAAGTGTAATGGATCACAGCTCGGAATTGGAAATCAGAGATCCGAGTTCCAATTCCAGTTGCTCTCGTTATATTCACTTACGCGCAAATACTCTTGGGAAAGTTATCAATTCACCTCTACTCGTCCCAAGCAACGGTTACTTAATAGAATCTGTATGATTGAAAAACATTATTACCTAATAAAAAAACAAATACTTACATTTCGAAAATATTGTAAATAAGCTGTAAAAAAACAAATAATCAATCTTTGTTTGCATTGAAGCCATTAACGTCTGCTGGATTTGGAATTAGCCAATTTCTCGTATATCTCCTTTAGTTTTTTTTTCTCTTTTAATTTTAGGAAAACTCTGTCTTGTAGTAGACAGAAAATGGCTGATGATATATTCGTTTCCTTTGGATATTCATTGACGGAACATTTTGCATTACTATTTGTTGAAACATCTGATAAGGTTATTTATTACACCTACATCAATAGTCCTGGGTATGACGATAAACTACGTCCAGAAGCAAGGCCTATAATCAAGAGTTTTGAGGTTTTGGGGGCCGTGGAACCACCTCTTAACTGTTGTTGTTTACTGGTTTACCCTGACCCAGGGTGGTAGCACCTGTTAGGGTCTCGGTTATTGGCAAATGTTAAATTCCCAACCTATTAAAAAATCATGAAAAAATACCTATTTATAATAAACATTACCAACAATATCTATTTAGACTAAAATTACTAACAGTACCATTTTATGGTATATATTTAGTTGAAGTTATATAATATGTTGAGAATATTTAGATTTTAGCGTTAAGTAACACATAGTGTTTGATATGCCGCTAAACAGAATCAACCAACTCCACATAAAAAATTGTACACACTTCCCTAACACCTTTCTCATTTCGACCTGAGGACGCCTGCCATATAGAATCGAAACACACTGTCTAAACAAGCTTTTCCACGTCGTCAAATTATCTCCACGTTTTTTGTTATTCTACATCTTACACCAATACATTTCACACCTACGCCACATAAAAAAAAATCGAAATTCAAATGGCGGTAAATCACTGGAATCTTTTTACAGTTCATTTTTTAAAGATTCAAGAAGCTTGAATGGTAACTGAAACAATTATCACTAATCGTGTGTTTGTGGCCAGAGAAAAGCAGCATTTAAAATACTGAATCTCAAGGCAGACAAAACATTTCCTCCATGAAGAATACTTGTCTCTTTAAATGTAATGCTGCTCTGATAATAAGTAATGGTAATATGTGCTGTTTCCTTATATGGAAATATTTATTGATCGAACAGCGTGTACTACCGTTGAGTGGAATTTATAAAATCTTTCTCTTGAAACAGTTTATCGGGAAAACAGATTTCTCAAGTCCGATAGATTTTTGTCTCTTTTCACTATGAATTGGGATTTCCTTCCTTCCTAACATTTTGTTTAAAATAGTGTAAAACGTCAGTTTATTGAGTATGAATATCCTATGTACCTCTACGAGGCACATAGGATATCCATTTTAGTTGTTGTTGGTGTTGAAAGTCCTCAAGTTATGCGGTGTCTGTAATATTGTACAGTTCTTTGATCCTGGTTCTATAACACGAGTCCATGAAGTCATTAGAAGTAAAAGGTCTTCACCAAGATACACAGGCTTCACTCTCACGAAGTCATTTGAAACATTAATCTGAGGAAGTGGTTGTATAAAACACAATTCAGGTGCACGGTGTGTTGAGTGGACCTATCTGGGTATTAAGAAACCAAACAAGATTTCCAGACTTTTGCTTCATTCGATATTCCATTGCAAGCAGATATCTCTATATAGATGTTTTTTTTTGTTTTTTTTTTATCGAAGTTTTCCTTGTTGTTGGCGAGACCTAGAAGACAGTGATTATGTCCCTTTCAGAAAGGGACATAATCATATTCCAGGCAGATATTTACCGACTCTAGTATCAGTCCAAGCAGTGTTTATCTTTTTGACTCGATAAAGTATTTCATATCCTTTAAGACAAACATTTTATCCATTTTTTTTTCGCTATCTGCAACTTCGGCAGATTATTAAATTCTCTAACGCATCTGGATAGAGGAAAACCTTCCAAAAGCAAAGTAAAAAAAAAAAGAAAAAGTGCGTTAGAAATAAAGAAAAGAGTACTGAACTGTCCTTAAATATGGCAGTGAATACTGGACAATGTCCTCACAGATGAGGGAACAGAAATGTCGTTTTACGAAATGAAGCTGAGAATACCGTGAAGTGAACATGTGAGTAGCGACGAAGTTTTAAGGAAAATAGAAACAAAAAGTACACTTATACGTCGAATCAGAAAGAGACAGTTGACATTTCTAGTGCAAATAATGAGGAAAAAGGGCTTAGAGAAAATGACACTGACAGGACATATTGAAATCAAGAGAGTCGGGAAAGAAGCGTATAACCTACCTAATGAGCTTTTGTAAATGGTTGGCAGAACTAGAATTGACATAAATAGCAAAATGACTTATTACAAAGGAGAAGAGATGCTGAAGAACCATGGTCGCCCTTGTGATGGTAATGCATATTACGAGTGGCTAGTCAACTGGCGAGTGAGGTTACTGTTATCGTGACGCCATCTCGAAATAAGGTTCTAACCAAGACAAATGAGCTTCTGTTTAATCCATAGGTGTCGACATGTGCTTTCGTGCTCGATGGGTTCCATACGGTTTCGTCTTCTAATTTTCATTCACAATTATTCATCTAACTAGTTTCTTGAAGTTCTCTACAATTTTGACCTTGTCACAAACGAAACACTTACCATCAGTAACGTTTTTAAAATAGTAGAAAATTTTATTCCTGAAGCATTTAAATATGATCTAAATAGACATATTAAGCTTTCGTTGTGGTACCATAAGAAAAAAATAATGTTCCGTGAGAAGTTTGTCGGACTTTCTGGAATAAGTTACAATAATTTACACTATTGATACGCGAACTGTTGTCCTCATCTTGTTAGTTGTTGACTTCTCTACCGCCGTAAATCAAAGAACTTTTTACTTTAGAAAGTAACTTCCAACTGTACGAGAAAGAGCGATAACACTTAGTACAATTGAAAAGATTGTTTTTCTTAAAACAATTTTAAGGGAAAGTTTTTAAAAATTCTAGGTAAGTTACGTTAACAGTTCGGTCAAGGAGTACAGAATGTTTCCTTTATAAGAGAAAATTCTAGTCTCGCTGAAACCATAATTAAGACTTGGATCAAGACTGGGCTAAAATGAATAATCACTAGGCGATCAGCAAGTCTATACAAAGTACACAAACACGTTACTTGAGGAGGAATAATGAGAAATATCATTGCAACTTCTCGGTTTTCTTTTGAGTTCCGTTTCACTTGTTGATTGTAAAGCTCACATTCAAGAAGCGATTCTTTTATAAGAAGGTTACAAGAATATTAACTGATACAAATTCAGACATGGTAAAAAATATGTAGGCTCAGGTGCCAATGGCTGTTCCTTGCGGGTGATCTACATAAATAAGGAAAATGTTTCTATTTAGGATTCATCGCCCACGACAATATATCTAAACCGGATTAATCCAAATAATTATTTCGTCGTGAACTCGAGGCAATACATTGCGTTTGTATAAGTAATATATATGACTTGTTTTAATATAGCAGAAGATGTATTATCGAACATTTCAATTTATCTAAAGTTAAAAGTCACAAACAAAAGATATAATCCTGAAATCATAGGCACCCCGTATATATCGTCGCTTAATAAAAAAAAGCTGTAAAGTCAGAATGACGTGAAACAACAGCTGAAAACTGATGACGACTAATGATCGTGAAAAATTGAGGAAGAATGTTCACATTTCGTCAGTCCCTACATCGGTTGTTCTTTGAAAAGTAGGATAACTTGACG